TAGTATAACCTTACAACCGTTAACAGCCAATTGCTTCATGAGCTGTAGTTTTAAGCGTCTGACCAGTAAGTAACCTGGGTGTCAGACGTGTAATATACAGTATGTGTAATCGTTATTGTATTCTTATATATTTTTGTGAGTATAGCATTATATTGGACATTTTATTTGTGAATAATTATAATATTAACCTATACAATCTAACATTAACATTGACAGGTCAAGTACGATGTTTGGGTGAGTTTGACCAAAGCAACTGACAGAAGCAGACCGATTCACAGGCCGGCCGAGTCAGTCAGTCAGTCACACACAATCGGGTAGTGACTGAACCTTTCATTGCCACTCACCTACGTTGTCAATACAGTTCTGTCTACGACCTGGTGAAGTATTCTGTCTACGATCTGGTAATGTACTCTGTCTACGACCTGGTAATGTACTCTGTCTACGACCTGGTGAAGTACTCTGTCTACGACCTGGTGAAGTACTATGTCTACAACCTGGTGACGTACTCTGTCTACGATCTGGTGATGTACTCTGTCTACGACGTGGTGAAGTACTCTGTCTACAACCTGGTGACGTACTCTGTCTACGACCTGGTGATGTACTCTGTCTACGACCTGGTGAAGTACTCTGTCTACAACCTGGTGAAGTACTCTGTCTACGACCTGGTGAAGTACTCTGTCTACGACCTGGTGATGTACTCTGTCTACGACGTGGTGAAGTACTCTGTCTACAACCTGGTGACGTACTCTGTCTACGACCTGGTGATGTACTCTGTCTACAACCTGGTGAAGTACTCTGTCTACAACCTGGTGAAGTACTCTGTCTACGACCTGGTGATGTACTCAACTCCTAGTGTTTACTCTTGAGACTGGCTGGTTTAGTGTTTACTTAAAAAAAATTATTCTTTGTTTATCGGTGATGTTTGTGACCCGAGAGTCATTTAATATGTTCACTTTTATTTGTTATTTAACTATTATTGTTAGCAAGTGTTGGTCAATAGTTATATATTTTACCTCACTTTCTTTTCTCCAATCGCCAAGTATTAATTTATTATAAGTGGCCACAACCAATCCTCATCTAATTCAGTTATAGGAACATGATAACGGAGGAAACTGCAGCGGGCCTATTGGTCCATACTGGAGAGTCCCATTTACACCCAACCCCTATCGCTCATATATCCACCCAACCTATGTTTGAAGCTACCCAGCGTATGAGAGTTAATGATGATGTTTGGTAACTTGTTCCAGTCATCCACTACTCTATTTCCAAACCAATGTTTACAAATCTCACGCCTAAATCTATATTTGTCTAATTTAATACAATTGTTATAAGTTCGCTCTTATTTGAATATTTTGAGTACCTTTGTTATATCACCTTTGTTTAGCCCTGACTTCCATTTATACACCTCGATCATCACTCTACGTCTCTCAAGGAAGTGCAGTTATTCACTTCTAAATGCATGACTTTTAAGAGCCATACACCTTTGACAGGTAACTATACAAATATACATAAATTTCCCTCTTGTAATACTTAACACCTTCAGTATATCGTTATATAATACAAAACAGAGACTTAGTGAGACTTGGATATATAAAAAACTGCAATATTTTCCGATGGTAAGCGAACATAAACACTACCCAAAGAAATAAGTAGACGATAGCATATTGAAATCTCTTAAAGAGCACCAACATACCACACGAGGGTAAGCACCTTTTCCTTTAACAGTTATGTGCCTGAACTTCCTTGTTAATGAACGTCTTACGTGTTATACACAGCACTGTATGATGTATCCGACTTAAAATATAACTAATCTATACAGCAGCACAAAGACGGTTCACAAACATTGAAGAAGATAAAAGCCATAGGTTAGGTTAGAGTTCTATAAACACACACTACCTACTGGTCCCCTATTGTACAGTATATAGACTAGTCACAATATGGGCTGTGGAAACAACTTGGACAAAGCCGTGTACACATACTGTCCTTGTGATTACTGGAGTCAGGCCGTGTGACTAACCCTTGGCTACTATCTCGTATTGTAGTCATGTGCCTCAGCATAAGCTAATATGGGCACTTGAGTCTCATCGTCAACGAGTGAACGCTGTGAGGACATCCTTCACATTAGTCAACTCATAGCCTCACGTATAATGTCAGTGAAAATAAGAGATCAAGCCTGAGTAAATTCATATTGCACTAGTAGTTACGGGTGTAAGTTTGTGATGTACTGTTGATAATGTACTTTCAGGTCATCTAAATAAGAAATAGTTTTACAATTAAACAAATATGTATAAGATGCGAGTACTAGATAATATTAGACGTCGCCTCTGTCAGTGTAAGCGTCCAGCACCACTTTAATATTGACAGTTAGTTCCGTGTCCTTCATGGAGTGCTCTCAGTAAGGCTGTCAGGGGGAAGTCCAGCTGTCAGTCTTACCACAGCTGTGTGTACCTAGTGTAAATGGTTGAATGGGCGTGAACTGTACACACTTCCAACACTGATGTAGCTGTAGTGTTCACGTAGCTACATAACATCACTCAACGCAATACGTTATAATAATATTTGGCACACAAAACACAGCTGCAGTTACTTTATAAGTAGACATTGAATAAAGTGATACAAACTGCATAAACTATATAGTACAGTACACGTTGTTATACACTGACCGCTACTGTATATATATATAAAACTTTTCCTACTGTACAAAACTAATAATGAAATGCCTTACTTATATGTATATATACTGTATATATATTCTAAATATCAGACGTTGGTAATAGAGATCCGACATAAAGAAGGATGTAGTAGTTAATTATATCATTAACCAGTATAAACATTTTAGGTTAAACTTGTAAAATTAAACAATACAAGTTTCTTAATAATATAAAAGGTTTAGTAATAATCATCAATTTTAGGGACCATTAACCTCTAAACTTCTACCATGATAAAGAAATATATCCAGATTATCAATGATTAGAGCTGAACACAGGTGGTGACGAGTGGGGTGTGCCACGAGTAACAGCTAACACAGGTGGTGACTAGTGGGGTGTGCCATGAGTAACAGCTTGTACCTCACCTCCACAGCTGCTGTTTAACTCTCCCAAATATCAATGAGCAAAATAAACAATGTGGAAAAAAACTCGTAATACAGTACACTGACGAGTAACTCGGTGTAAAGAACTCTACCATGATAAGAAACAGTGCCAGTCAGTGAACACAAGAGACAGTGCCAGTCAGTGAGCACAAGAGACAGTGCCAGTCAGTGAGCACAAGAGACAGTGCCAGTCAGTGAACACAAGAGACAGTGCCAATCAGTGAACACAAGAGACAGTGCCAGTCAATGAGCACAAGAGACAGTGCCAATCAGTGAACACAAGAGACAGTGCCAGTCAGTGAACACAAGAGACAGTGCCAGTCAGTGAACACAAGAGACAGTGCCAGTCAGTGAACACAAGAGACAGTGCCAATCAGTGATTACAAGAGACAGTGCCAATCAGTGATTACAAGAGACAGTGCCAATCAGTGAACACAAGAGACAGTGCTAGTCAGTGGAACACAAAGAGACAGTGCCAGTTGCGGGAACACAAGAGACAGTGCCAGTCAGTGAACACAAGAGACAGTGCCAGTCAGTGAACACAAGAGACAGTGCCAGTCAGTGAACATAAGAGACAGTGCTGCCAGGAACACAAGAGACAGTTAAAGTCAGTGAACATAAGAGACAGTGCTAGCTGTGAATACAAGAGACAGTGCCAGTCAGTGAATACAAGAGATGCCAGTGCTAGTCAGAACACAAGAGACAGTGCTAGCTGCGAACACAAGAGACAGTACAGTCAGTGAACACAAGAGACAGTGCTAGCCAGAACACAAGAGACAGTGCCAGCTGGGGTGAACACAAGAGACAGTGCTAGTCAGTAAATTGAAGCAAAGAGACAGCTAACTTAGTGAACACAAGAGATAGTGCTAATCAGTGAACACAAGAGACAGTGCTAATCAGTGAACACAAGAGACAAGAAAAAGGCCAGGGGTGAACACAGAGACAAAAAGGTCAGTAATGACAAGAGACAGTGCCAGTCAGTGAACACAGAGACAGTGCCAGTCAGTGAACACAAGAGACAGTGCCAGTCAGTGAACACAAGACAGTGCCAGCTGCGAACACAGAGACAGTGCTGCCAGTCAGTAACACAAGAGACAGTGCCAGTCAGTGAACACAAGAGACAGTGCCAGTCAGTGAACACAAGAGACAGTGCCAGTCAGTGAACACAAGAGACAGTGCCAGTCAGTGAACACAAGAGACAGTGCCAGTCAGTGAACACAAGAGACAGTGCCAGTCAGTGAACACAAGAGACAGTGCCAGTCAGTGAACACAAGAGACAGTGCCAGTCAGTGAACACAAGAGACAGTGCCAATCAGTGAACACAAGAGACAGTGCCAATCAGTGATTACAAGAGACAGTGCCAATCAGTGAACACAAGAGACAGTGCCAGTCAGTGAACACAAGAGACAGTGCCAGTCAGTGAACACAAGAGACAGTGCCAGTCAGTGAACACGTAAGAGACAGTGCTAGTCAGTGAACACAAGAGACAGTGCTAGCCAGTGAACACAAGAGACAGTGCCAGTCAGTGAACACAAGAGACAGTGCTAGCTGGGTGAACACAAGAGACAGTGCTAGTCAGTGAACACAAGAGACAGTGCTAGTCAGGTGAACACAAGAGACAGTGCTGAAGCCAGGTGAACACAAGAGACAGCTAAATATGAACACAAGAGACAGTGCCAATCAGTGAACACAAGAGACAGTGCCAGTCAGGTGAACACAAGAGACAGTGCTAGTCAGGAACACAAGAGACAGTGCCGTCAGTGAACACAAGAGACAGTGCCAGGGCCAGTGAACACAAGAGACAGTGCAGTGCCAATCAGTGAACACAAGAGACAGTGCCAGTCAGTGAACACAAGAGACAGTGCCAGTCAGTGAGTACAAGAGACAGTGCCAGTCAGTGAACACAAGAGACAGTGCCAGTCAGTGAACACAAGAGACAGTGCCAGTCAGTGAACACAAGAGACAGTGCCAGTCAGTGAACACAAGAGACAGTGCCAGTCAGCAAGAACAATAAAATATGATATGAGAACTGAGAAATAGTGTTAATGATGACAATATGAAACTCGGTAGGAAGTATTTTGACTTGGTGGTCGAGTCTGAGTCAATTCTCAGCGTTTAACTGTGATCAGATCCCAAACAATGGCACATGTACTAATAGTCTCGGGAACTTTACTACAATAAATAACTAAACTGCAATAAACAGTTTCCAGCTTAACTGTTGTGAAGGACAGGAGGCTTTTTTTAACCTAATAATGAACAGTACAGTACAGAGATAGTGACCAAAACATTGTAACTACTGTACTGTCCTCCAAACTATCAACAAAAGCTGGTAAGGAATAACTTATGGTGTAGATGTGTACAGAAAACAAGAGAACAACGTTACTTATAAAGGTTGTACATATAAGACTGCCTTCTTGGGCAACTACTAATGTTCACAGCGTTGTCATAACCTGTGTTAATATATCGTGCACATAATTCTGCCAACTCATGACGTCTCCAAAAGGTTAAAGACACATAATCCAACACACCAACTCTTACGGCCCTTGAGCACAGCTTATCTTAGTTGTCGAAAACCAGGATGAAGTATGAGACGTTGTTCACGGCACACAGCGGGACGCAGACGACACCTGTTGGTAAAATGACCCAAGTTATTTTTAATGAAGAGAAATACATTTGAAATTTTACTATAACGTTATATTTATAAGAAAAGCTGAAGGAATTTTTAATGAGACGAAAGAAAGTTTACCTCATCACACTGTTGGCGGGAATGTACGGAATGCCACTGTGCCACCGCGTGTCTCTGTGACCCCACCATATTGCTCCAGTGAGTGATCTCGTGAGGACCTGAAAATAACTCTAATTAACATATAAGTCAAGGTTCCAGGTATCTACATCAACTAATTAACATATAGGTCAAGGTTCAAGGAATCTACGTCAACTAATTAGCATATAGGTCAAGGTTCAAGGTATCTACGTCAACTAATTAGCATATAGGTCAAGGTTCAAGGTATCTACGTCAACTAATTAGCATATAGGTCAAGGTTCAAGGTATCTACGTCAACTAATTAGCATATAGGTCAAGGTTCAAGGTATCTACGTCAACTAATTAGCATATAGGTCAAGGTTCAAGGTATCTACGTCAACTAATTAGCATATAGGTCAAGGTTCAAGGTATTTACGTCAACTAATTAGCATATAGGTCAAGGTTCAAGGTATCTACGTCAACTAATTAGCATATAGGTCAAGGTTCAAGGTATCTACGTCAACTAATTAACATATAGGTCAAGGTTCAAGGTATCTACATCAACTAATTAACATATAGGTCAAGGTTCAAGGTATCTACGTCAACTAATTAGCATATAGGTCAAGTAACTGATATTTAACTCGTCAAAAGCTGTAGACCAACTTCGTGTGTGTGTGTGTGTGTGTGTGTGTCCTCCTGATACTCACTGATTCCCTTATAAACTTATTGAGACTTGTTAACATTACCAGTGATCACGATTCAATTTACAAGTCCGAGAAGAACTAACCAGACCCGTTCTATAGTATCTCTTTACCTGTTGGTATTGTTCGTTAACTACCCAGACAAAGATGAAACCATTATGAGTATTATTAAGAATTGTATTAGGCAGTTAGGAAATTTTGTCAGTGTGTAGGGAAAATCTAGAAAAGGCATATTAATGATAAACCCTGGAGGTAATTTAATTCAAGTTCATTATACGTTACATTAAATAAATTAAAGAACAATTTACCTGATGGTTGTTTACCAAGGACAATCCTGCCTATAAATTCATCTCTCATCACTCCGCCATTCCAGTCCCACACGGTCACCACTAGAGATGCCTCACGCAGCTCAGGGGACGCGATCTGGAAGCTGAACGACTCATTGAACGAAGGGGTGAGCGTGTTCTTCTTAACGCTTGTTTTCTTGGATTTAAGGTGGCGACCACGGACCACCAGAGACACACGCACGTACGGATCTGTTAACGCATAATGTTTGTCCGTGAAAATTGAAAAAAAAAACGAAAAACACAAACAAAATAATCAACAATAATTATTAACCTATAATCAAGTGATGTAATTTATTGTTTGATTCATGTTAATTATAAACATTACTAACTGTTTCCTAACTTGACTTGACTTGACCTGATCTGACCTGACCTAACCTGACCAAATAAAACCAAACCTAACCTAACCAAACCAAACCACCACCATTACCACATCAAGTAACACTGACCTGCTCCTTGAGATAAACACATCAAGTAACACTGACCTGCTCCTTGAGATAAACACATCAAGTAACACTGACCTGCTCCTCGAACTAAACTTGTCTGAAGGATTTGCTTGGCCTTGATAATATCGACGTTAAGGCGACCAGCAGTGGGCAGGTAGTTAAGTGAGAGAAGCAGCTCCCCAAACTCCTCCGTCTCCTGTCATGGGAAGTAAAGCATTGTGAGTCATCAGTCACACTACATACTGCCCCTCATACCCAGCCACACTACATACTGCCCCTCATACCCAGCCACACTACATACTGCCCCTCATACCCAGTCAGCCACACTACATACTGCCCCTCATACCCAGCCAGCCACACTACATACTGCCCCTCATACCCAGCCAGCCACACTACATACTGCCCCTCACCCAACCACTACATACTGCCCCTAATACCCAGCCAGCCACACTACATACTGCCCCTAACAGCCAGCCACACACATACTGCCCCTCATACCCAGCCAGCCACACTACAGCACTGCCCCTCATACCCAGCCACACTACATACTGCCCTCATACCCAGCCAGCCACACTACATACTGCCCCTCATGCCCAGCCAGCCACACTACATACTGCCCCTAATACAGCCAGCCACACTACATACTGCCTTGCAGCCAGCCACACTACTGCTGCCCCTCATACCCAGCCAGCCACACACTACTACTGCCCCTCATACCCCAGCCACACACCATACTGCCCCTCATACCCAGCCAGCCACACTACATACTGCCCCTCATGCCCAGCCACACTACATACTGCCCCTAATACCCCAGCCAGCCACACACACCACATACTGCCCCTGTCTGTATACACACACTACACACTGCCCCTCATACCCAGCCACACACATACTGCCCCTCATGCCCAGCCACACTACATACTGCCTCGTGCCCAGTCAGCCACCATGCCCTCCTTTGATCAGCCACACTACATACTGCCTCATACCCATACACTATACTGCCCCTCCTTGCCCAGCCAGCCCTACATACTGCCCCTCCACTTACTTGTGTACACTACATACTGCCCTCATGCAGCCAGCCACACTACATACTGCCCCTCATACCCAGCCACACTACATACTGCCCCTCATACCCAGTCAGCCACACTACATACTGCCCCTCATACCCAGCCAGCCACACTACATACTGCCCCTCATACCC